AGGACAATACACACCAAACTAAAAGAGGTATATAGTAATACAAAATGCTACACATGGTGTATAAATTATATCTTACTCTCTCCCATATGGTGTTATTACATATCTACAAATTTCCTGAATTTTCTAAGTTCTAATTTTGAAACACTCTAAAATTCAGTCTGAAGTATTACTTTTTTGTAGCTTAACCGGCCAAAGAACTCATCTACTGTTTCATGTTAGATCGGGATCTGGAAGAGTCAGGTTCATCTGAGACCTCTTCCTTCGCTGATGTTATAATCCCCCATAAAGTTGTTTCTACACTGCTGAAAGCTAAACGTCAAACATTTGTCTTATGTATTTCTTAACAGTATTAGTAAATATATTAACCCCTGTCAAGCTATTGTTCTAATATTTGCATATTACAGATTATCTTTACAAGATTTACTCGATCAAAGCCAACACTTGGTGGAAAAATTATTAAGATAACGTTAAAACTAAACAATTTGTTATAGGTTTTGTATTTTAAGGATATAGTCAACTTGTTTGATAGCGAAATAATTAATATAACATCCATACTAAACAATTTGATCTTCAGAGGCAGTCGAGTAATAAGAATCCTGGATGAGAAAAAGAACAATCATGTTTTTTACTACCAGTTTGATCTTTATAGGTTTGACTCAGGCAAAGAAACTTTTGGTTACATACCCTCGGTGGGCACAGTGCATATAGCTCATTGTATAGCTTTGCAGTTAAACACAAACAAACAAAAACTTCAAGGTGAGGAAAATATTATGCTAAGTGTAAATTAAGTATACTACTCACGGTATGAACAAATTTCATGTTAAAGAATTAACTGTCACACAATCCTTTTATTGTGAGAATACTTAAAAGCAGCATATCTACACTGGTTGCTTCTCTAAACTAGGAGATTTTGTTGGACATATTAAGTTATTCAAGGTCAGTGTTGAAGTGCTTAATTTTGATCTCTATGCCGAAGCCTTTATCAGAGATTGAAATTACAGGTAATTAAGTCCATAGTAGATTCTAAGCCATAGATAAAAATGTATTTGATAATATAAATCACGATGAAGGTATTGAGATACTACTGTTTAGAACAAACTTGTATTTTTTGCTAAATACCCATATTACTGTAAACCTAACTGTGGGAATATTATAAAGTTATACTGTTTGTAATCAAAATGTGTCTTTTACTTCAAACAGTCAAAGTGTTGTAACATGTGTCTCGTCATTTATCTACAGGGTAGACGTCCTACTTCTGTCCTGGGAAGATTAATTATTACTGCAGTTACATAATGGAAGTAAGTACGATTGACGAATTGGCCATGTTTTAATGTAGTCTATAAGAGATAATGTCAGCTTTTTGTTTTCTCGAGTGTTACAATGAGAAAGTACGTCTGGATAAACTGTTCATTTTTCTATTTGGATAGTTTCGTTTCTATATTTTAACAAATTTAACTAACACACACACACACACAAATAATAAAACGGACGTCAACGCAGTTTTTTTCTTTATTTAATCAAGCAGAGCTCATAAGGGGAAGGGGGGGGTGTTCAGATGTTGTAGTATGTTTCACACTTAAGAATTTGTTTATACTGTCAAGTTTGGTAAGGTATAATTCATGACCGATGCGTTACTTCGATTAAGTAAACTTTCAAAAACAGCAATTTAAATTTAACGAGATCTCGGGAATCAAAACGATGTTTTCCTCCTCTCGCTGAATAGCAGTATTTTTACAAATAATTAAATAATCCGTATGCTTGCATTAAGCTTTGTTTACATTTACTTTACTGGAATATAAGTTTAAAAACAAGTTTTGCAAAATATTATATGGTGTGCTCTTCATAGAATTAGAACTAGAATATTAATCGTCCCAGTTTCAGTATTAATTCTTTATATTGTTATGTATCTGTTTGTTTGTTAATTTCCGGTATAAATTCATTCCCAGAAACTTCAGAGGTACAAGTTCTTTCTTGATTAACTCAATTTATTCTTCCTCGACACAAACTTTTTGTAATACACAGAATTTCCATAGTTACTTTAAACTTAACAACCTTTATTACACACGCTATAAATCACAGTGATTCACACATTTTACTTACGGTGCCTACTGTTCGCTTGACTCAATTATCTATCTCTGCCGATCCCACTGGTTTTTTTCGCCAGGCTTATATACTAAAAAAGAAGGCGTCTAGCAAACACTCGGACATTCGCGGGGTTCCTCGATAATTCGAGAAACTCCAAAGTGTATGCTCCCAGCGTCACGCGACTTCCGCTGTCGTAACAAGATACAAAAATATATAGATGACACTTTTATGGTTGGTTCTAAAGGCCGATTTGTTATTTATATTCTTTATCCCGTAAAGTTCACCTCTCTGCATAATATATATATATATACACACACAAACAAATTAAAAGTTTACAGTTTTTATACGTAATTATTTCTTTATCAAATTTTTGAATTGTAAAGGGGTGCATGAGGTTCTTTTTTGCTGTCTTTTAGGATGTTAAATTTATAACTTGATGATGCAAAACAATTTTAATATTTAATAGGTCACCCAACAACAGATTAGATTAGAGCGTCCACCAACAGAGGCGTCTTACTCAGCGCTTTTATGTATTATTTTCATTGTACTGGAAGAAGGAAAATGTTTGCTTAGCTATGCTTTGCGGTACTACAACAAAGATAAGTATCCTATCCACCAACTTCTTTTAGTTACACTTACCGAGTGTCTAAAATGTTTATTTGTTACTTCCGCTTTTATGTATCAGTTTAGAACACTTCGGAGGATCCGTCCCTCCCTCATTTTTTTACCTCCTGCTTTGATCTATGCCCTTACGAGCAATATATTTCTCTATGCTCTTACCTACGTTACACCAGCTGTATGGATTGTTCTCATTCAAGGGAAGGTCGTTTTTACTGTTGCGATGTACAGGTAAGTACATATTTAAATGTTTACCTGTTTCAGATTCTCCTGCATTTAAGTTTTCTTGGTTGCATTGATTAATTATTATATGAATTCAACTTTGTTTAAAACTAGTTGAAAAAGTTCTTCTTTTTTTGTTACAATAAAATTATGTACTTATTGTTTTCAAAAACCGTTTTTAATTTAAATGTTGTTTGTTTCACTTTCTATAAGTTAAAATTTATTTTTTTATTTTTACAAAAGCCACCCAAGTTATTAACTGTGATAAGACAACGTATTAAACAGTAACTATATTTTTCTTATATTTTCTGGGTCTATAGAACTGCCACATTTAAGCAGCTTAGTAAGTTAATATCATAATATTCAAATTTAATACTGAAATTTGTCAATAGTTACGGCTTCAACTCCGAAAGCTGGAGATATACTGAAAAGTAATAGCCTTAAAAATGGGGACAAAATTTGCGTAAACTACAATGCCTGTTTCTCTACATTACTCCCAATTTATCCACCCTACCAGTGGGGACCTACAAACGAATAACAATTAAAGTAGAAATTAAACATCAAAAACTGATAGAAATAAGTTGCTGAAACTATTAGTGATAAAATACAATCAAGCTAAAGCGGCCTCAATCTACCTATAAAAGTATAAGTTTGTAATTGGTTGATTGTTGGCTGTTTGTCGTTATGCGCAAAGCTACACAAAGGGCTATCAGTATCACTATCACTTGTTACTTATTAGAATTTCAAATGGTCTGAAATTGTGTTAACTGATAATTTAAATTTAGTAGTTAAATTGTACTTTATATTTAGTGTTTAAATAAATGCCAGT